CAAAACTATGGGTTCATTCTTTAAGAAAATCCAACTCTCTCTCTCTCTCTCTCTCTCTCTCTCTCTCTCTCTCACACACACACACACACACACACACACACACACACACACACACTCAAATGTTATCAACTCATCTTTAAGTGGGATCCTGCCAGCCCAGTGAGATCACTAGTTCCTTACAGACAAGCCTGGACTCCTTGGGGCCACCAGGCTTTGAGCAGAATGAGTCTAGAGAGACTCTCTCAGAAATTCCACAATAGACTTCATCCAGCCCAGAGGGTAGATGGAGTCCAACCATCTTCCTAGAATTTCCGCCCAGCCAATCAGAACTTCCATAAGAAAGGACTGCAGAATGCCATCCTGCGGGCTCCAGGTTGCAAGCAAGCCACGCTAAGGGAACATATTCTGAGAGATGCTAAAAATTCCCTGAAGCCCATGCAGCTTCAATTCAAAGCCCTCAGGTGCCCCAGGTCTCAGGCGCTGGAGCTTCTCTGAGATCTAGAATCCAGCCCATGTCACCTTGCCTGACAGATGGCAAATGCATAAATTCTCGGGAATTCTCTACAACTAAGGTGTAGGTACACAAAAAGGGAAAAAGTATAACCTTTGCCCAAAGGTTTAAATCTTTATCCTACTGTCCTCTTTGTAATCACCTCTGTTCTCTGCTTTACAAGAAGCTAAAAAGTCCCATTTCTGAATTATGAAGATACATAATCTTACCTCAGACTGAGCACATTCAAATTTGACCAAAGTTGCTGCAAGTTCACTTCGGGCATTTTCCGCCACATTCCGATGGTGGTTTAATTGCTCCCGACTGACTGGAGCTTCCAAAAGATGATCGTAAATTTCCTGATAGAGTTCCCCAAAAGACAAAATATAGAGAAGAGTGAAAACAATCTTTTCTGTGCAGCTGTGCAGAGCAAGATTAAATGCAGACGTGTTTTTTGTAGTCCGAATGTGTTGAAACGGCTGCCCAGAGAAGTGTTTTGTTCAGATCATTTCACTCAGTCTCAAAATCCTAAAGGAGGCAGGAGTAGGCCAGAACAAAGGATGTGCTCCCCCAGGATGGCTAAGCATTGGCCTTTGTCAGTTTAGAAACTTCCCTTCCACCTGACTCAAAATGCTATTTGACCTCCGACAGAAAAGAATAGTCAGGAGAGCCACAGTGAGACATCGCATGGAACAAGAAGGCAGTTTTCATCATTCTTCTATTTCCAGACAATAAAGATCATCAACTCATCTCATCTGTTGAATAGTGTTTTGCTTGATTATCAAAGAGATCGTGTGAGTTAAATGTAAAAGGCTGTGTCTTTCATAATTATTCACTATGCCATTTATCCTCTATCTCATAGCCTATCCCGGGGTCGTGAAGGTGACTCAAATGCATGCCTGAGACCAGAGGTAGTGTGGTGGTGCCTGAGGACTCCTTGCCCCATCCCATCTGGAAGGGAACAGCCCTCAGCTCTACTAATGGCTCTCAATGCAGAGATACGGATCCCAGCATGGCCAAACTATTCCAGTTTTTCAAGACAAGTCATATATCCAGACTTTCTGAAGAAAAAAAATTCCCAGTTTTTGCAGCTTGGCAACTAATTTCAGTGTTCAAAAAAAAAAGGCACACCGTGTGACCCAAATAAACACATCTGCAGAGCAGATTTGATGGGTTTGCCCTGTGGGTCTCAGTATGTCACCTCTGGCTCTGTTTGGGTCCTGCTCATCCACCATGCCTGCTTCTTACAAGAACTATTCCTGAGCTTGAACAGATACCTATACCCAACCTCTATGGCGTTTCCAGGGCCTGTGGTCTTTCTGAAAGACATACAAGAAAACCACTCGTTTCTGAAGGAATACAAAAGAGGTCACATGAAAGGAGGGTTTCCTGGAATTACCCAAGTGGTCTCAGGGGAAACACCAGGAAATTCTGTTCCTGACTGCCCAGTTACTCAACTGCCAAAGGCTACTGTTTGGAAAGACTCATGAATGCAAAAGTAATTCTAAAGCTCTTCACTTTACAACAAGCGTTGTCATGACTAGTGTGTTTCAATCCACAAAATGCCAAACAAAACCTCCAAGCGCACTTAGTAACAGCCACTGTTTGCCAATCACAACATATCCAAGAAGATGGTAGGTATGTACTCCTGGGGAGAAAGCAGAAAACGTTTAACTGCATCTAATAAGAGAACCACATCCTGTTCGGCCTCATCAGTATTCAGGAGGAAATTCTCCACCCTAACCACCACAGCAATATTTTCTAAAATCTGCCATGGTGAAGATCAAGGCCACTCATGAGAGGTTGGGACTATAATGTGTTTGGCACACCATTTTATAAAATTCATTAGGAGAATAAGTTCTTCAATAGCTATGATGATTTCTTCCAATGACTAACATCATTTTTCAGGCAATGAGGTAGTCATACCATAATTTTATATCCTCTTATGAAAATACATTGTGTCCATTGGACATAATATTAAAAGCCACACAAGAAAGTTCAGATACGGCTCTTCATTTTAGGAGGTTACCATCGGATACAGAACACCACCAAAAGCATTAACAACCTCAAATGTTCATGGATGGAAGAAACGACACATTAAGGTATCATTACCTTTGACACAGAAGCAGGGCCTCCATGAGGAAGACTCCCGATTACTGAGCTTAGAAGACTGTTGCTTGGTCTGAATCACCCTTCATAGTCCAGCAGACTGGCGATTATTTGTCAGCAAATATTTACTGAAAGCCCACTCTGGGTCAGGCACTGAGCTGACAGTCTAATCAGAAAAACATCATTTATCAAACAACCACACTAATCCTTACATAATTACAAACTGAAATCAATGCAAAGACGGAAAGAAGGAAGCAGACAACAGAGGAAAGTGACTTGAGATTGTGGGTGTGGGAAGGAAAGATTTCCCCAAAGAACTGATGATTAGATAGGAATCAAAAGGCAAGAGATTTTGGAGCAGGAGCAAAACACATCATTCAGACAGCAAGGAGTCCGAGCAAGTGTCCGTGGCAGGAATATGCCCCATATGATCAAGGATCTGAGAGACTGAGGGACAAGAGAAGGTGAAGAACAGTTAGGGGCAGGGTTCTGAGCTCATTCACATTTTAGTATCTGGTAGGGCTTCTTTTGCAGAATATTCCTGGCTATACTTACTTTTACCATATGAAATTTAGAGTGTGTTTATCAAATTCCAAAAAATCCTGATGGTATTTTTATTGGGACCGTGTTAATTTTATAAACTTGGGGAGAACTGACATCTTTTAAATGTTGAGTCTTCCAACTAAAATCTTTTTTTTCCATTTGTTCAGGGATTATATGTCCCTTAATAGCTATGATTGTTAATTTTATGTGTCAACTTGACTAGGCCACAGGGTGTCCAGATATTTGATTAGCCATTATCCTGGGTGTGTCTGTGAGGGTGTTTCTGGATGAGATTAACTTTTGAATCGGTAGACTGAGGAAAGCAGATGGCTCTCCCCATCTGGGTGGACCTCATCCAGTCTTCTGAAGGCCTGGATAGAACAAAAAGGCTGAGTAAGGGAGAAATTGCTCTGCATCTGTCTTGGAGCTGGGCCATCAGTCTTCCCCTGCTTTTGGACTCACACTCAAACTGGAACTTGCAACATCGCTCTCCCTGAGTCTCCAGCTTACCAACTGCAGATTTTGGTACTTCTCAGCCTCCATTATTACACAGGCCAATTCCTTATCATAAAGATCTTGAGAAGACAGATATGGAGATGGAGATAGAGATATACAGAGATAGCCTATTGGTTCTGTTTCTCTAGAGAACCCTGACTGAGCCCCAGAGACAATTCTGTGTTGAGAGGGGCTCTGGAATGTTCTACAGAAATCCATTCCTTCAAGACACTCTGAGGTAGCTAGACTAAGAAATGGATGGCAGTAGCATGAGAGGATTACAGGGACAAGGAAAGACAATCTGAACACTGAAAGAACACATGAATGTATTTATTCACGGCCAAGCTTTTCCTCTTAGCTCTTCTCTTGTATCCCACAGATCCTTAAGGAGTGTTCTTCAGGGCTATCTTCTAGAGATTCTTCAGTTTGGTTGGAATGTCTTCTTTGGCCTGAGCTGACACTTTGTTGTGGTGGTGGCTCTTTGTTTTCTGGATTTGTTAAGGATTTCTACTTTATTGCACTGTGCTCAGAGACCACCTGCATTGGGGCTAACATTCACTGGCATACACCAGTTGGTTGACCGGTGTCCACACAGAATTGGGTCCACTCCGACTGGAAGGTACCCTCACTATACCAGCCATTACATATTTTTGCCATCATCCTTGCTGTATTATTTCTATTTCAGGGAATTTACTAAGGCTTTTGTGAATGCTCAATTTTATGAATGTCCCATGAGCACTTAAACAGATGGTGTATTCTCTGTCCTCAGGGCTTGGACTTCAATAATTATCAATTCTACCTTATTCATTATTTTAATTACACACTTCTAGCCTTGCCTAATTTCTAACTTTTTACTCTATCATGAATTGAGAGAGGTGAGTTAAAGCCTCCTATTACTACTGTAATTCTCTATCACCATGTAGCACTTGTATTCTTGCTTTATGAATGCTGGTGCTGTCTTACTTGGTACAGAGGTTCAGAACTTTCATATCTGTACCATGTGTCATTATTTATCTCACTTGATCCTTTCCGCTCAGAATTCAATCTTTTCTGATACTGAGATCATGAGTCCTGATTTCTTTTTGTTTGCATCTGACTACCTATACCTTTACTCCATCTCTTCTTTTTCAACCTTTCTCTATCACTTTGCTTTAGATGTCTCAGATATAAATAAAGTTGGTTTGGGCCTTGTGATCAATTCTAAAATTCTTTTTCCCTTATCAGATGACTTTACTACAATTACATTGGCTAATCTGAAAGATAAGTTTGGCCTTAGTTCGGCTGCATTGTTTTAAGTCATGCTTCTTATTTGTATTGCTCTTTCAAAATCTTGCATTACGGTATCTGTTTGCTTTGCCTTGTGTGTTTTTCATCTGATAATTAGGAAGGTTTGTATTTTTGTTCTAATTTTAAGTTTATAACTGTAACTCTTAAATAATACCTTTCATCCCTCTACTGGTTTAGATAATATCTACTAATTCACTACACTAGCATATCTCCTCTTCCTTACCCCTTTCCTCCCTCTCTTCTGACTTCTAATCTTTGAATCTTTATATTATCATTTTAAGTACTTCTCTTTCAACTGTAGCAGCAAGTTATTAGATGAGAGAAATCAAAATGCTTACACTACCTCTCACCTTCCTCTTGGATACAAGTAGTATTCTTTTCAGGGGACTCTATACATATGCTTAATTCTTTTGCATGTATTTCATTTCATTCATTTTCTGCCTATTCCTTTTTTATTCTTTATTGCCATTTCATTTTTCTTCTTCTAATTTCTTCTCTATGCCTGCCTGTCTCCCCATGCATCTTCCAATCTTGGTATTATTTCTGTGACAGTTTCACCTCCTTTTGTGTCTTTCTTTTCTAAACTCTGCCAGATCACGTTTCATCTTCTGGCCTTACCATATCTTTCTTGAGGTACTAGATCTCTGCTTTCTGAACATGCCTCAGGTAAGTAGTGGCTTCATCCAGTTGTTCTATTCAGGATGAAATGTTTGGTCTCAATTGTTCCTTTCATCACAGCAACAGTTTCCGGTAGACACTCTTCATTTGTCATATTTTTCCTATTCATTACCCCCACCCCACTACTTTTTTGCTGTTCATGGCAGCCTTAAATAATCCTGTGCTGTTTCCTTTATATTGCTCAATGTGGGGTAAGTGTTTGCTGGACCAGCGGTGGAAGAGCTTTATGTGCACACAGGAGTGGGAA